CCTACTAATGGGCTTTGGGTCTCCACTCTGCACTCCCCCCATCATTCACTATGGTAAGATTTTTTTGTTCTGATGATGCCTTATCCCTGATCCCTTCGACACCTCGTGATCGCACAGGCTGGTGTGCTTCTTCCATGTTTGGGTTTTGATCCAAATGGAGTCTCCTCACTCACAGGCAGTGACTTTTGCTGGTTCCAAGTTGGCAACTAGGATCCAACAGCGCCCTCTGGTGTGTAAATGTTTCCTAACGATTCGAAGGCTGTAAAACAGGGCGCAGAAGCTGGGGACACACATTGAAACCTTGCCAAAGAGGGGAAATACAGAACAGAATTTCAACCTCCCTTGGACTCCAGACTTTCTGACTCCATGGAGGTTGAGCTGAAACGATTGCCCTGAGATCAGTCTTAACTCTTAAACCTAAACTATCCCCTTGGATCCTTAAAACCAAGCCATCGTTTTGCTTATCTAGTAGAAAGTGTCTGTCTTGCGCATTAAGCTCCCTTAAGACCTCTCTGTGCGTGGTTCAAATTGACAACAGCAACTTGAAGGACCAGATGGGAAGTGGAGGGGGCTGTGAATTGATGCTCATGGGGGAGGAACAGCTCAGAAAGGGGGGGGTGTGAGAATATTTGCACAACTAAAAAAAAAGAAAGTGATGCCTGTCGATGAACTGTCCACGTGTAATCATTGCACTGGTGTGTGTTTGAGGAGCCTCGGTAGTGGCGTGGGTTATCTATTGGGCTGCTGACAGCAAGATCAGCAGTTCAAAACTACCAGCAGCTCTTAGGGAGGAAAATGAGACTTCCCATTCCTGTAAAGATTTGCAGTCTCAGAAACCCACAGGGGCAGAACGTGATGTACTCTCCCCAGCGTGCCCCGCTGACCCCCATCCCCTCCAAATATACTGTCCTCGCCTCTCAGTCCTAAAGCTCACACAAGCCTCAAAAAAAAACAAAAAAAAACCCAGCAAATATCCCCTAAAACGAATGCTTCTCCCTCCCTG